CAATTGCATAAATCTTCAAGAAAATTCTGCCATATTGAATACACCATTTTAAATTTATGAAAACTTACATCAAATTCGTATTCGGCGTCCCTAAAAACCACCGAGTGACAAAATTAAGGTCAATTGCATAAAGTAAAAATTTGTGTTTCATATTGGATAGGGGGAGGGTCAAAAATTAATAAAAAATTGTCCTTGTGGTTTATGGACGGCTTATACCTCGACTTATATCATGACTATTAATAAATCTCGGTGTCAATGTTTTGACAAAGAAGGAAGAATACTTCAATAAAATAATTCTTCTAATGTATAATTAATATATATAAAGTTTTTCTATCGCTTGACTGAACTAATCAAAACAAAAACCATTATTTTGTAATTTGACTTGCTTGGTACTTTGAAACGTCTGGCAACACAGCATTTCTGTAGTCGTGTTGCAAATGCTTGGTATGACTTGTTTACATTTAGTTTTGAGTAGAAAATTGTGTGCAATGTTTCCAGATGTTTAAACAGCTGTTCAATATACTGTATAAAACATTAAATTTTTTTACAAATTAATTTATTGCAACTCTCACAGGTACCTAATGACACTTTTTAAACAGATATTTAACCATTATATATCTGTCTCGTATTAAAAAATGTTTTATTAATTTCTTAATTTTAAGTACTTTGTGGTGAGTAAATATGTTTGAAAATGTACTCAATTTCCACAAAACTCAATGTTAAAAGTTAAAAACAAAGACGCTTATAACTTTTTTCACAAGTACCCACAGATCTAAAAAATTTAACTACATTTTTTAAAAACTTTTATCTAACAGTGGTACAAATTTCAACAAATTGGTAATGTTAATTCTATTTGCGAAAAAACCTTTCTATTATCTTGAGAAAATCTGTAATTACCTTAACGTTTTATAAACATTTTACAATATAGCTCAGTGTGTTAAATTTAATTTTTGGTTTTCGTGTTTTATGTTTTTTTAATTCTTCAAAAAAAAATTGTAATTTTTTTCCAATATTTTAGAAAAAGAAAAAAACGGATCATAAGGTTTTACATTTTTATATACACACAATAAAATAAGGTCTTGAGTATCAAAAGACAGAAACAGAAATATCGCGCGCGCGTAGCTCTGCTAGTTGGTTCAAAAAATAATGAATATACACGGAAAAAATCTTGGGTGACGTGCAATCCCAATCGTCGGAAAGTGGGGGAACTATAGTTTGGATGTTCTACGTTCTCAATTCGGGAAATCTACGTTCCCATGTTGGTGGCGCTGAACACCCAAGATTTGAGACTCAAAACCTTGGGACTGCAATAGCCGCATCTTGGGCGTTCAGCACGCCCAAGTTGGAAATGCAGCTCCTCCAAACTAAAGTCGTATCGCATTCGTACATTTTCGGTCTACTTGGAACGGCACGTCACCCAAGATTTTTTCCGTGTAGGTTTCACGAATTACAACTATGGATTTAAATAATGTTATATTTTATTAAGAGAAAGTGAAACGTAGTTACAATTTTGGTTTTAACAAGTAATAAATTTAGTTATTGTTAAAATATAATACCTTTCCTTAAGGAACACGGATATTTATGCAACTGTTCCCACTACTGATTTTCTTAGGGGAGAAAAAGGTTATAGGAAGGGAAAAGGAAGTTAGCTATTTTTGGATTGTTTCAAGAAAAGAAAATAGAGAGAAAATGTATTAAGAAAATGGGCCTAATTGGTTAATTTTGAGTCCGTCCCATTTTTAGGGGTTTAACGCGTAGGAGAATTCTTTAAAAAGGGGCTGAGCCTTGACCTTCCTCAACTTCATCTCCTCTTCCAACTCCAATTTCTAGAATTTACAAAAATGTCTATTTTCCTTAATTCTAACATTTTCTATGATTTTTCGTATATTTATACAATAAAAATAAGAATTTTTGGTAAAACATTATTTAAAAATGATGATTGTTTATGTTAATAATAATAAAATAGTTAATTAAAGAATTTTACAATTAATTCGATGTAAATTACATTATTCAATAATTACACAGCCACACAAAAAAAATAAAAAGTTCTGATCTGGGGGTCTCACTATGTAGACTTTACGTTTTTTGGCTCGCTGAATCCGAATCCGAGGTCTATTTAACCCCATCAGATCAGGATTTTGACATAACCTCAAAAAACCAATATGTCGGACATGTTTTTGAAAAGTTCATAGGATTCGCTTGAAATTCGTTACTCGGGGGTTCTTGGGGTCGCTGATTACGAATTTAAAGTCAGATTTCAAAAATGCAAAATGGCGGATCCAATATGGCGGATACGATTTTGAACAAATTAATCGGATTCGCTTAAAACTCGTTACTCGAAGGCTTTTGGGGTCTCTGATTACGAATTTGAAGTCAGATTTCAAAAATTCAAAATGGCGGATCCAATAGGGCGGACACGTTTTTGAAAAATTCATCATTCAATTCAATTCCGGGTGAATTGGATCACTCAAGTTCTTAATTCCTTAAAAGAACATATTTATTAGATGCACGTGAAAAACACACGTGAAAAACAGTGTTTTTAGTTTTTCTTTGTAAATAATAAACCTACGTGCCCGAAATTTTTGGACATAGTTTGTTTCAGTAAAACTAACTTATATATTAAATAAGAAAAAATTTCACTCAGTCATTTCTCAGAAAATTGAAGTGGTTCACTGTTGACGCTGGTTCAATGTAGCCTACTTTCCCCTACACTCTTTACTTATTTTTATTACTAATATATTTTTATTTTTATTATATTATCATCTAGCATTTATATCTTTATATTTTTACTATTTTTATCACTTTATTTTTATTATTTTTACTATTTTTATCTATTAATTTGTTTTATTTTTCTATTAATTTGTTTGAATGTTTTTAATTCTTCTATTAAATTAAAATTTGTTTTTATTTATATTTAAAAGAAATTTTATTACTTACTTTTGTTGCTAAATATTTATTATCTGGAGCTTCGCAGAGAAATTGGTGCACATTCTCTGGAGACAGAGTTTTCGACTTCTTTGCTTTGTAGCCACTTGAATTTCTTTTTAAGTAAGTTGTCACTTTCAAAAAACTGCTAATGTCAATGTTTTCATTGTTTTTTATCGTGCATTTTAACATTGAATATATCGACCACAAGGAGGCGGTTTATATTTATTTGCCAATTCGATGAGATAAGCCAAAATCACGTTTTCCGATACAATTTTAAAATTTTTTGATTTCGACCAAGTTTTGTAGGTTAAGTAGGTTTTTTGGTACTTTTCTTTAGAGTTCGGTGGTAAGAAATTTTTTTGTGCCTCCATCACCAACTCTCTCATTTCTGGTGGAGTTTCGAATTGGTTTTCATCCTCACTTTCATCTTCACTTTCATGATAATCATTAACGTTATTCATGTTGTACCGGCGTTCAACAAAACAAAACAAAACAAAACGTGTCTGGTTCGATTGTCCTTTTTAAAAGGAATTGAATCAGGCAATTGAACTAGGGTTAGAAACTGCTATATGGTTTCAGGGTTGAGCCGCACGTATGAATTACGTATGGGACCTGTGAAACGTAGCGCCTCGTGGTGGCGTAAAGACAAAGTATTTCGCCAATAGGAACACTCGTTTTTTAATTTTACAGTGATAGTTATTCTAATGGAGAGTTCTTATTGGCATAATGCCGATTAATTAAATTAAATTGATTTTACAAAAGATAATAATTACTATTTTATTATATTGATTTCCTATTATTTAATAATAAATAATAGAAAGAAATTTTAAAGAAATTCAATTTTTTTTTAAATTTAAAAAAATAAAGCAGGATAATAAAGTAAATTTTTAAAGAATACCAAAATAATAAAAATTATATAAAAATTGTTATATTATTTTCAATTTTGAGCAATAAGCTTTATTTTTATTAATTTCTACAGAAAAAAACAAAGAATTAACATGCGGGCGTAAAATACTTTCCAAGCAGGCGGAAAATACTTTACGGCCCGCTGACGTCATACAAGCGGGCGGTAAAGTATTTTCCGCCCGCTTCCCCTACTCCCGGGCGGAATGTGTTACTTTGCGCCCGCCTTAAGTGCCCGAAATGGCATACTTTCCGTGCAGGTAGGACAAAAAAATAATTTTCCGTAATTTTAACCCTTAGAAGCACACATTTTTTATCGCAGGGGAAAAATACCAAAACATGTAATTTAAGGGTTTTTGTGGTCGCTGATTACGAATATGCAATCGGTTTTTCAAAATTCAAAATGGCGGATCCAATATGGCGGACGACTATTTCAAAAAATGATTGAATTCACTTGAATTGTGTAACTCGGGGGTTTTTGGGGTCGCTGGTTTCGAATCTGATATCCGTTTTTCAAAATTCAAAATGGCGGATCCAATATGGCGGACGACTATTTCAAAAAATGATTGAATTCACTTGAATTGTGTAACTCGGGGGTTTTTGGGGTCGGTAATTTCGAATCTGATATCCGTTTTCCGAAATTCAAAATGGCGGACGACTATTTCAAAATTTGATTGAATTCGCTTGAATTTTGTAACAAGGGGGTTTTTGGGGTCGCTGGTTTCGAATATGATATCCGTTTTTCAAAATTCAAAATGGCGGATCTAATATGGCGGACAACTATTTCAAAAAATGATTGAATTCGCTTGAATTTTGTAACTCGCGGGTTTTTGGGGTCGCTGGTTTCGAATCTGATATCCGTTTTTCAAAATTCATTCAAAATGGCAGAAGAGTATTTGCAAAATTGCGTGAGTCGCTTGAATATTAATACTTGTTTATTTTTGGGTGTCTGATTGGGGATACAAAATTTTTTTTATAAAGAACAAAGATATCTCGTTCTTAGCGTTACCCAGAACTAACGGCGAGGACGTGACGAGTTTCTAGTTCCACTTTTTTTCATTTTTAAATTTTTTGTTTTTTTTTGTTTTTTTTTATTTTGTTTTTTTTGTTGTTTTGTGGTTTTTTTTAAAATTATACTAAATTTTCGTTTGCTGCTTTTGTGGGACTATTTATGATAATCTGAAAAGTATTTTTTCTGAGGACAAACAGAGAGGAACATTGCATTGTGTGCAACACCAAGCCGTTCTTTTTACCTTTTCTCGCGTGCTGCAAAGTGCACAGCGTCTAAATGTGTCTAGGTGCACAGGCATGTTAGATGACTCTGACCGCCTTTTTGTGAGAGACACTTTTGGCTTGTGCTGACTTACGGCTTTATTTTTCCGTTTTTGACCTTTTGGTTTTCGCAGTTTTTGATCAACTAATTCTAATACCAGTTGAAGTCGAAATTCTTTCAATGTCAGAGGTGGTTGAATATTCTGTTCTTTGTATATGACGAAAGAATTCACTACCGCCAGGTCTACAAAGTGCCAAAATAATCTCAACCACCATCTTTTGGACTTTCGATCAATTTTATATGTTGCTATCAATCTGTCAGCATGATCAACATATCCCATGTGCTTGTTGTAATCAGCACATACAACTGGACAATTGATGGGTAGCAACGATCCATTCTTTTGCCGACAATTGACTACAGTGGTTTCAGAAGGATCATGATAATTGGATAAAAAGTATAACGGCTTTTTATCCATCCATTTGATCCACTGCAGGCCTGTGGTTGATGTTCTAGATTCATAATCTCCTATTTTAAAACTTTTATCCGGCTTCTGGCTTTTCGTCAATTTTGATCGATTTGATCTAACGGTACCACATGCGAAAATATTATCTTTTTTTAAACTAACTAAAAGATCTACCCCCGTAAAAAAATTGTCAAAATAGACATGGTGGTTTCCACCAACGAGTTCGCGCGTTAGATCCTTTATTACTCGAGCTCCTAATTGTTTCTCTGTTGACTCTGTTTTTCCAGTATATATTTGGAATTCGCATACGAAGCCAGATTCATCTGCTCTTGTCCAAGACTTATAACCACGTTTTATTGGTTTGTCAGGCATGTATTGTTTCATACTATTTCGTCCTTTGAATTTTATCATGGACTCATCAATTGATTGATATTTTCCCGGTTTCCAACAGGTTTTGAACGTCTCGCTTAGTGCCTCAATTACAGGTCTCAACTTATATAATTTATCATACTTCGGATCTCCTTTTTTTGGTTCTTTACTGTTATCACTTACGTGTAAGTGACTAAGAAGGAAACCGAACCGATTCACTGTCATCAAAGAAGCTATGTATTCATCATGCAATTGAGGATTAGATGCCCAGTAATCCCGATATGACGGTAATTTTTTGACACCCATCAGAATGTTGATTCCCAAAAATATGAGTATTTCACTTTTATTTACTGGTTCCTGTTTACTATTCTTTTGTTGAGCATATAAATTTGTTTGCTCAACTATTTTTTCAACAAGGCTGTGGGGAAATAAGCAACTAAATATGTCCGATGGTGTTTTTGCATTTACCGGAATATTTGGACCATAACTTTTAGTGAATGGAACATCTGTTCTTGGTACACTACGTTTTGTCCAAATTCCATCTTCTACAACATCTTCTCCTTCTTCCTCCATTTCTTCGTCGAGTACTTCTTCAGTGATGATACTTGAAATCAGAGGACAGTCTGTTACACCTTTCTTTTTTTGAAAAAGGCACGCATCATTTTCGGTTTCTGAATCGCATAAACTATCAATCGAGTCATTGTCACTGGGAATATCTACTAATTCTACTTCAATATCAATAATTTATTTACCTACCTTGTACAATAACTTCGCAGAAAGAACAAAATATACTCTACCGTCGGGAATTATCGGTACGGCTGCACGCGCACGGCCCAAAAACATACCAATCTTTAAATCACGATTTTTTTGTAAATACAAATGTCAGAAAATTAACAAATATACCATTCGAAAGATTATTAAATTCTACGATTAATAGTACATAACTGAAAATTTTAATAATTTATACAAAGATTGCAGCAATTGACAAATTTGACAAAAAAAAATTTAAAAATAAAATTTTTTTGGAAATTTTTTCAACCCCTGCACATTTTTTAAAAGTTGCAGAAAAAATTTGAAACTTATATAGGTGTGATCATTTAAGTCTCATCTTTAATTTAAGACCTAAAAAATTCAAAAATCTTTATCGGTTAGCGAGATATCATTATAAACGGACGAGCATTTTCAGCCAAAAACCGTTCAAAATCGACTAATTCAATGCATTTGTCAAAAAATATGCTCGGACGTTTATAATGATATCTCAGAAACCGAATAAGATTTTTAAACTCTTTTGGTCTTAAATTAAGGATGAGACTTGAATGATCACACTTGTAAGTTTCAAATTTTTTCTACAATTTTTAAAATATGTGCAGGGGTTGAAAAAATTTCAAAAAAATTGTATTTTTAATTTTTTTGGCAAATTTGTCGATTGCTGCAATCTTTGTATAAATTATTAAAATTTTCAGTTATGTACCATTAATTGTAGTATTTAATAATCTTTCGAATGGTATATTTGTTAATTTTCTGACATTTGTATTTACAAAAAAATCGTGATTTAAAGATTGGTATGTTTTTGGGCCGTGCGCGTGCAGCCGTACCGATAATTCCCGACGGTAGTGTAGATGTCTATATTTACCGCATATTTTATAAACTTACCTTGTTTAATCAAATGAAAAATGCAATATATGAAACAGTGTTTTTTATAGTATGCCGGAAAGTGCAATGTATCATTTACAATATCTGAACTAAAATTTATACTTTACTCGTCACGTACTTAGCTTGTTATTTAATTTGAAAGACTGTTTTTCTCAGCTTTCTAGAGAGTGCAATGAGTGCAATGAGTGCAATCACCTCTGACTTTGAACAAATTGTGACTTCAATCTGGTGTCAGAGTTAGTTGATCACAAACTGGCAAAACCAAGAGATCGAAAACGGAAAAATAATGCTTTAAGTCAGCACAAGCCAAAAGTGTCTCTCACAAAAAGGCGGTCAGAGTCATCTCACATGCCTGTACACCTAGACACATTTAGACGCTGTGCACATTGCAGCTCACTAGAAAAGGTGATAAGAACAGCTTGGTGTTGTACACAATGCAATGTTCCTCTCTGTTTGTCCTCAGAAAAAAATACTTTTCAGATTATCACGAATAATCCCACAAAAGCAGTAAACGAAAATTTAATATAATTAAAAAAAAATAGAAACTCGTTAAGTCCTCGCCGTTAGTTCATTCTGGGAAACGCTAAGAATAAAATACCTTTGTTCTTTATAAAATTTTTTTTTATTTCCAATCAGACACCCAAAAACAAACTAGTATCAATATTCAAGCGACTCACTCAATTTTTCAAATACTCTTCTGCCATTTTGAATTTTGAAAAACGGATATCAGAATCGAAACCAGTGACCCCAATCATCCCCGAGTTACAAAATTCAAGCGAATTCAATCAATTTTTGAAATAGTCGTCCGACATATTGAATCCGCCATTTTTAATTTTAAAAAACGGATTTCAGATTCGAAATTAGCGACCCCAAAAACCCCCGAGTTACAAAATTCAATCGAATTTAATCAAATTTTGAAATAGTCGTCCGCCATATTGGATCCGCCATTTTGAATTTTGAAAAACGGATTTCAGATTTGAAATTAGCGACCCTAAAAACCCCCGAGTTACAAAATTCAAGCGAATTTAATTAAATTTTGAAATAGTCATCTGCCATATTGGATCCGACATTTTGAATTTTGAAAAACGGAAATGAGATTCGAAACCAGCGACCCCAATAACCCCCGAGTTACAAAATTCAAGCGTTTTCAATCAATTTTTGAAATATTCGTCCGCCATATTGGATCCGCCATTTTGAATTTTGAATAACCGATTTTAGATTCGAAATCAGCGACCCCAAAAACCCCCGAGTTACAAAATTCAAGCGAATTCAATCAATTTTTGAAATAGTCAAATTTTGTTAGTTTCTTTTGTTTATAACTATATTCATTATTTATGCAATATTCGTATAATTCAGGTTTTTTTTTCGTTTAGTTATATTTTTGATACTATAGAAAGGAAGAAACAATCATTTTTATTACAAAACTTGGACGTTTATTCTGGAATATTTTAAAATACATATGTGGTTAGTAGTACTAGCCATCGTGCTGCTAAGGGTTAATATTTTGTATATATCTATATATACAGTACATCACCAGATGCTCACTTTCTCTTTTCGGTATCTGTATATATATATAGATATATAGTATGAACTATAGCTATTTAAAAGGGCCTAAAGTGCTTTCGGTCTTCTCGGACTATTCTTTTCAAAGTTATCTTTTGTCAATTGTACTTATCGTTTTTCGCTAGTGTTGATTTTTGGGATTGGATAAATTTATGATGTAATAAAATTTTACGATTATTTCTATTTAACAAGATTGGAGAAAACTCAAAAATATTGATTTTAGGGCTTAAGATTTTGAACTTGAAGAAGGAAAAATGTTATCACTCATAAATTTTATCCAGTCCCAAGAATTTTAACATATGGGAAAATTAAATAAAAGGAAAATAAAAATGAAAAGAAAAAAGAAGAGAGAGACAGAAAATAAAATGTAAAGACTAAATTAAAAACATAGGTTACAATTTCACAGGATGTAACGCCCCTACCGTAAAATGGTTAGTTGAGGATGTAAGACGAAAATAACCATGACCTGAGCTCGATGACAATGTTAGTTTCTCTTAAATTATATAATTGAACAATTTAGGGTTAGGCTTGATAATTGTGAGATAGTTCTTTGTAATCAAGTGTTTATTTTAAGGTAAAGAATCCTTGTTGTTGTTGTTGAATGGCGTTCACTGGATACAGTTGAGTTGACGAGGTTTCAGGATCACCTGTGGGACTGGTAGGTGTAATTAGTTTGTGTGCGTCTGAACTTTGGTTTGATTGATTGGAAGAATCTGGGACTGCAACTTCTTCCAATGGAGTTTCAGGTGTAGATGGTCTAGTACCCAAATGTACTAAAAGATGAGAAATAGAACTGACTATCGCTCCTAATAAATGTATTGACCAACCATAAACAGAGAACAGTGTATACCCCTGTATAAGTGTGTTGAGGATATACTTGATGATTTGGATTAAAGTCACGATGGCAAAGATTCCAGCACTCGCAGTTTCGAAGGTGACGAATCTGCTCCAAATTTTATTCCAAGTACTATCGACAAATTTTTCGACAATATCTTCATTAAAAAGGTTTAATATTCCTTGGTTGTTGGTCACCGTCCGTTGTTCTCCCATACCCATGACTAGGTCGTTTAGGACTGAAGGTTTTTCCACTGGAAACATAATCTTTTCCCTAAGCTTCCGGATATCTTTTTCGAAGTAGATTCCGCTGGTGGCCAATTCTCCTGGATTGAGATAATTCCATTCGTTGGTTTTGGATGGTTGCAGGATGACTGGTGCTCGTGGTTCCACTGGCAATGGCAGGATTTTGTACCAATTTTCATTAACTTGGTATAATGAGGGTAATAAACTGTTAAACATGGTTTGTGTTCCCGTTAATTTTAGGATGTGTGTTCTGGGGGTTAAGAAGAAAGGTTTGTTATTTCTTGTCACTTGTAATTCCATGAAACAATTTTCTCCATTTAGAACCTTTACTTCTACCGGTGTACACTTGATTATATGAACTACCTCGCCTGCAACGAGAGCCATATAACCCGGATTATTTATTATATCGTAGGCAAATTGATCCGGAGCTACAATTGCTAATGACAAAGAATTTTTGATTGTTTGCTGCTCTAGTTTACATTTTTGTTTTATAATATCGGCGTATAAATTTTTTATCTGTGTTCTAATGTGCTTTTCTACATATACAAATTTTGAGTTAACATAAGTAAATATATCTAAATTTGAAGTTGACATTTGTTTCTTTTTCGCAAAACTTTCTCTTTCTTTCTTTTCAAAAATAACTAATTTTGGATGCTCAGTCTTTATAAGACTGTATCCACATAAAAAATCCTTCTGATCTTGAAGTTAACACAAAAGTAATTTCTCCTTTGGTTACGGCGAATACAGTTTGAGGGTTGTGAATGTCTAAGTCGATCATTTTGTTAGCTGTACCTTCGTATAGAACATTATATATTTTTTTTTATTTTCAAAAATTTTGTATTATTTATTTATTTATTTGAAAACATGAGTTCCTAGGGCTAATGAGCCCTTTAAGGAACAATACATAGTAACATGCTGAGTGGAAAAAAAACTATAAACTAAAACCGAATCATTCACTCAACATCCATTTATCAGTATATCTTGTGAAATTGAAATTAAAAAAAAAAGATTTTGTTTTTGATTCTCCTTTTGAATTTAACACAATTCTCTAGGAACTTTCTGTCGGTAACAGTAGATTTCTTTTAGTCCATTTAAACTTACCACTTCATTTATTTACATTGATTCATATGGTAAATTCAGTCGCGCTTGTCAAACTTTGCTTTAACCAATTTTTAACAAATATTCACTGTTTCTTATCGAAATCGGCATTTTTACATTCTAGGACAATTGTGCTTTCAATTTATAATGTGTACTCTGCTCATGTGATTTTAATTGTA